TTTACACACAACAATGCTTTAATCACACTACAGTAGCAATAAACATAAAACCCCACCCACCTGTTTTCAACTTATATTGAAAATATAATCACCATTCAAATAAGATTACAAAAAGTAGCGTACACTAATTTTTTCAATCTTGTTTTGAATCAATTTCAGAAAGAACATTACCAACACAATGGAGGCAAATATTAATCAAGGTGTTAAGGAAATAAAATATTGTGTCTAATGTAGTTAACTGATTTACACATGTATAACAATGAGGGGCAGTAAAGTTGTACTACATCACTAGTTATATTGGGGTTATATGCAATGTAACAGTTTTACCACATTGTGTGTTCACAGTTCTCATGATTCGGTCACAGAGAACGCTATATTATCATGACCAGGCAAGCTTGTTGAAAGTACTATATCAGATTTAGATTTAATTCGAGGTTGATAAATACATGTATTATTATTTCATTTTTGCTTTCTGCATGGTTATGTGCGCAAATACTGTAATTCATCATTGTTGGATCTAATCTCCACCAATTACAGAAAGTTCAATGTCAGAATAAACATTATGATAATATTACCATTTATATTTCATATAATATTTACACAAAAGTTTGAAAAATGTGAATGTTAATCACATGGATATTCACATTCTGTATGCTGGACGAGTGTACATTCTATCACCCATGTATTAACATAGGGCTGAAACTGTCATACAGTGATGTATATTTATAAACAGGTACATGACACCCCCCGTTATATTTTAAAAGTATAGTTTCCTACACTTTGTTTCATTATCTTGAGTTTCAAAAAATAAGTTTCAGACTTTTTATAATTGAATAGGTCATATCAGGTTCTTCTTTTTTCACTCAGAAGAGTTTTAACTAATACAACCCAATTACGCAACTTTTGTAATTAGGAGTATTTTGTTTGCTTGTCCGTCACAAGCATATTAACTCACAAAATATCAGCATTTTCCAAAGACTATGAAAATGTATTGGTCATTTGAGTCAACCTTAAATATGGAATGGATGGATATAAGTATAGTCAATACTGTAAAATACTATTTTTGCTGAAGGAATGATTCAGTGAAAATATAATCCAGCAAATATACCTTTTTTCCCTTTATTTTACATTCAACTTTTCAAAAATCAGTGACAATAAATTCCATACAAAACATTCAGAAAGTCTTTTCAGTGAAAATTCATTCTAGCTAAAATAAAGTACTTTACAGTGGTTGGAATTAATGTTTGCTGAGAACAGTAATTCTGTGTATTGAGTTTTGTAATGTATACAATATAACATGTTGAAAAGAAAAACTTTTTTTTTTCAAATTACTCAACTGCTTTACAGCTTACACTTTGAATGTCACTAATAGATTTTATAGATTTGTCAGAAAAAGAACAAAAGGTCCATCTTGAATTAATCCAGGAAACTATTATATGTACAATGTGTGCATCTATATACATAAACCATCATTACATATATATACAAAACCAAAATCAAAAGACCAAGCATTTTCCAAAACATTTAGAATGATTCAATGAACAATATATATTATGCAATGATGGTAAACTATTTTACCTGCTTTTATACACTTGGTACAACAAACAACAAACAAAAGAGGGACTTAAAAAGTGCATGTCAATGTAGATGGTAACAAATCGGGTTTGCATGTAAAATCTTAACAACTCACCTAGTGTAGCACTGAGTAAATGTTAAAGGTAAAAACAATCACTGACTCAACTAATATACAGATTTTAGCTTAAAGCATGATGTGGTATTAGTGTCATACAATCTTTTACTGTTGCTATGCACATCCTGATTTAAGTTTACTTATATTGAGGCAAGTCAGCTGTTAACAGATCAAGATATTGGGTTATTTTATTGATAATCATAAAAATTATTATACATATTGGCTGGCAAAGATGTGCAAGTGGCAAACATAAACAAAACCTACCGGTATATTAGATATTTATTAGCATAATTTAACATAGTAATTATTGTGCTCATGAATATGCATGAGTTACAAGACACTTGTGCATACCACAAGACACAAGAGTCTAAATCCCAATTGATGGTCATAAATTAAAAATGTGCATATTTAATGATATGAAAATTAATAATGTGCTTATTTAATAAGCTGACACTACTACCAGATTTTAGAATGCAACATCTTACATACAAAATTAAACCAAAGTTATTAATGTTGACAGGAACGACAACAACAACGACAACAACACATCTTCAGCCTCAACCCTCCTCTTCTTGAGGGAAAAGAAATTACATGTTGACACCATTAAATAAACCTATTAATGTTGAATTAATAACTGCAACTGTTTTATAGCAGCTTTACTTAGGTAACAGATGTGGGATATGACACTTTGTGCACATAGTTTGACACGCAGAGATTACCATGTACATTATTACACAGTGGGTGGTAGAAGTCAAGCAAGTTAATACATTCCGTCAGTTTGACGGAATACACGACTGTTTTTTCAACAATAAATATAACAACTTCTATCTTAATTAATTGAGAATTTTTACGATGAGGACATTGTAACTACAACGTCTGAAAATGTTTCAACATAAAGTACCTGTAGTAAAAACACCATATAGCCACATGATAATTGTTATCACTGTAGATTAGAGGAGACCACTGCATTCCTACTATGTACAACAGGGAGCAGAAACAGAAATTACCACCAGCTCACCTGTGCTCCCTAACAGGTACACTTACCGGGGGTAGTTAGAGAACCCTTCAGAAAAAATCATGGTCTCTAAAAACCAAACATCACATACCTAAAAAGTCAACAAGTTGAACTGTACAATCTCCTCAGAGGCTACACAGAAGCATGAACCATCGATCAAAGCGTATAAGCCATACAGAGTTTGATATTACCAGCGATTTAGCACCCAGATACCTTTTAAACTGTGTATTGTACTTCACCTTAGAGAAGAGTGACCTAAGCGATGACAATAGCACTTCTCTAGTATCTTGGTTCGATAGGTCAATATTAATAGACTTTTATACTCTAAGGGCATACAGAGTATTACACATGTTATCAAGTAGCTACAAATGCAGCACAAAGGCTATTATTGAGCGTTCCAATTTGAATCACCAGTGGGACCCACACAGTGATATAATTGGGTCGCTAAGAGCAAAAAACTAATTAAACTTGATATGCAGGTTATATTATATTCAAATATAATAAATGTGTCAGACAAGTACTTATAAAAAATATACTATAGAGATCAGGTCAGGTGACAATGAACAATGCCCAGGTAAGTTATTCGTACATTGTTAAATATGCCAAGACATGTAGCTAGGATATTTTTAACAATGGTGATACCCACCATCAATAATGCATAATAGAATGACTTCACCTACATTTAACAGAAAATACTTTGTGCCAGGTGACTAGAAAACATTAAAGTTTATCTTATCAGACGTTATGCACATTGTACACAAACATGGTGAGAAACTGCAGAGAAATTGAAATTTATTCTGCATGTCTGCACGTCCCAAAAAGATGCGATCTCTCTAATAGAAAGAAATACAGGAAGGTTGTGGAGGTCAAAGCGACCCAGTCGAGCAGAATGCATGTTCAAATTTTGTGTACTGTATTTGACACGTGTTGTGTATGT